CTATCTATTGACAAACACTTTACTTAACTTATATTACTGGAAATTGATAGTACTAAGTATATTTGGTGAATGACACCATAGACGCCCTCAGGAAAACTCTACTGACCTAAAGGAGGATCAGGAAAGACCAATAAAGTGGCCACATTATAACAAATGTTCTAGAACCTTGCGATCTTTTGTATGTTTGTTCAGAATCATGACATCAAAGCGAAATTAATATGGAAACTATATTTTGGGGTATAGTGGCCATATTCTGGTTCTCCGGATAATGTGGATTGACCGAATAAGTGGTCACATCATAAAAATTGTCCTAGAACCTTGTGATGTTGTCTATGTTGTTCAGAATCAAGAGATCAAAGCGTACAGAATATGGCACTATACCCCAACATATAGTTTCCATATTAAATACGCTGTGATCTCTTAATTCTGAACAACATAGGAAAAATCACAAGGTTCTAGGACATTTTTTTTATAATGTGGCCACTTTATCAGTCAATCCATATTATCCAGAGAACCAGAATATGGCCACTATACCTCAAAATATAGTTTCCAAATTAATTTCACTTTGATCTCATGGTTCTGAACAAACATGGGAAAAATCGCAAGGTTCTAGGACAATTTTTATAATGTGGCCACTTTATCGGTCGTTCCGGATCCTCCTTTAGGCCAGTAGAGTTTCTTTGAGGGCGTATATGATGTCATTACACCATATATACTTAGTACTATCAATTTCCAGTAATATACGTTAAGTTAAGTGTAAAATTATGTCGATAGATTGTAGCATTTCCTACATTACAGGGAATTCGTGTTGATCCCGGCCCTCTATCTCGGTACGCAAAAGTCTCCGGCCAATGAGACCACCAACAATCGATGCAGCAGAATTTGTATGACATGTTATTCATTCCTTTATTTAACGTCGGTCTCTGTTCCGCAATCTAGTGCCAATCACCGACGGACATCGATTGCCATCCATTGCCGACAATCGAATGTGCAGGAAGGCAGCTTCCACACCTGCGTAGGATATCGCACCCATTCAACACACATGGGCCGGGACCAACGGCTTTACTTCCCTTCCGAAGGAAGACGTGACCAGAGATTTTTATGCCTCAGAAAAATCCCACCGACCTCGGCTGGGATTGAACCCAGACTCATTGGGGTGTTAGAAAGCAGTCACGCTTACCACTACACCACCAGCGCCGGTCTGTATGACATGTTGATTGAAACCGTTTGGCACCCGAGATATTCGATTTAGTCGCGGTTTTATAAATTTTTGTCCACTGTGCAGCGGTGGGTCGACGGTACTCAACACCGCATATATGAAGGGGTTACTGTAATATTTATTCATGTTTAGATTTCACCGGTCTATTTTCCAAAATCGAGTGCAAATCACCAGCGCCAGGGAGGCAACTCCATTTCTGGACCCTAGATGTTGAACTCATCAACTTATGGATCGGGACTAAGGGCAGAACGGATTGAACCCTGACCCACTGCAGTGAGTCATGCGTTCCACTCAACCAGCAGCGCTTTTTTTAAGTGGAAGCTTACCGCCAAAACAAAAAAAAAATCTGGCTCTTTCTGTTGTTTCTAAATATATTGAAAAGTATTAAAACAACAAGAAATTATATTCTAGAGAAAATTCAAATGTAAGCATATATATTCTATCTCATAAACAAACAAAAATTTGACTCTAAAGGGCCACCCACATTAGATCCGTTTGCGTTGCGTTGACGTAAATTTGACAGTTAGACAATATGAAGAGCTTTGAGTGGGTTGGTTTATTTCCTTTAAATTCCGTTATATTTGCTTATCTTTTGACAGATACGCGTATTTCGTCTACTACTTGCAGACTTCATCAGTGTCAAGTACTCAACACCACTGAAGAATCCATCTTTTATCTACGAGTTATATACTAATCAATAGGTACTAAAAATCAGCAGGTATCCACTGCCATGTCAAAATTTACCTAAACATGTACCTAAATTCAGTCTCCAACAGGTAGATGTATGCTACGATGTGTTGTTTTAGGTAGCATGCTAAAGAGTCTCGAGTATCCGGTTCCTTGATCTCTATTAAGCAATGTTGATGGATTATGTTTAAATATTTCTAGACTTTCAGCTACGTCTAGTTTCCAAGGCGAAGATACAGTCCGCAGGATATTAATGTTTTCCTTAGTCAAATTGTGCCCCTTTGTAACGATATGTTCTGCAACCTTGGATTTAAATTCATAATGAAGTCCTTTATCCATCTCTTTGTTAGTCTTTTTTACCTCTGCGATGTGTTCCTTAAACCTTGTTTCCAAAGTCCTTTTCGTCTGACCAATGTAAATTTTATTGCAATCTGGACAAGAGATTTTGTAGACTCCGGCTTTTCCTAAGACATTTTTGGAATCTTTAGTTGATCCTAACAGTGACTTCAGCTGATTTTTCCTACTGCTGAATACTAAATCTAGGCCAAAACTTCTAAACTTTGAAATCAATGGTTTGGTAATGTTTTTGTCGAAATTCACCGCTACCCGTTTTAAACCCTCATTTACTGGTGTAAGAGTGGTCGAAATACGCCTAAAATGATCCCTTGTTCTTTTATCGATTACTGCTTGAATTGTTTTTTTCTTGATACCCATTAAGTCTAGCGATTTAAAAAATGTGAGCTATTTCCTTTGATTTGCCTGTATCGCTAAGAGGAAGAGTTTGCATCCTGTGAACCATGTGGTGAAAAGCGGCCATTTTGTGTTGATGGGAATGGTTTGAAGTGCTTGGTATTACTCTCTTTGTGTTTGTTGGTTTCCTATAGATTTCGAAATTGAACGAAGACGTTTCCCTGATGATGAGAAGATCTAAGAAGGGGAGTTTGCCGTCTCCTTCTTCGTGAGTAAATTTGATGTCCTTGTGAACGTTGCTTAGAAATTACTGCGGATAATTAAAGGGGTATTTTGAAAAAGGTTTTAATAAACTCGTAGAAATGGCAAAATCTCATGGAATTGTGAGAAGAGAACTTCCAGAAACTTGAACAAGTTCATGATGAACGTTCAGAAATTCAGAGCAAACTTCAAACGCAGTTCTGATGTGAATTGCAAGGGAATTTCTGTAGAGATATTTAATACAAGGTAATACTAAAGAGTTTACCACGAAAATTCTAAGTAATGTCCCATAGGAATTTTGATGAGGATCCTAAACTATTGACGTAAACCTAACGGACGATGGACTCGAAGGTGTACAAAAAAGAGTGTCTGGAAATGCACATTCTTCTGTCCCTTAAGACTCACAATAGAACTGAAAAGTTTCTGCCATATCAGGCAAGATGCCACTACAACTGCACCCAATCAAGAAATGTTGAGTGATTAGTTATCTAACAGTAGTTGAAGAATGCTAGCACGGTTAGTTGGGATGCTGCAATGCTGCATAGATGGCCAGATGTTGGAACAAACTGACCGCTGAGATTAACCAGTAGCGACTTCAACGGATGATGGCGTGAATTTCAAACAAAGTTCGCAATTTTATCATAAACTTGTCACAAGTTCTCAGAATAATTTAGTGAAATAATTCGATTTGACTACTTCATATTTATCGGGGCCTCCCTTATCTCAGTCGGTAAAGGCACAGCTACAAAGCAAGACCATGCTGGAGGTGGCTGGGTTCAATTCCCGGTCCGGTCTAGGAATTTTTCGGGATGGAAAATTTCTCGACTTCCCTGGGCATAGATATGATTGGACTTGCCACACAATTATACCAATGCAAAAATGGTACAGGCATCGAAAACTCTCAATTAATAACTGTGGAAGTGCATCTAGAACACTAAGTTGAGAGCACGCTATAAACTAATATGCGATTTGCAATAAGCTTGAAATGTGAAGAAGAAGAAATAGAAGAAGACGAAGATATTTATCGTACGTCATAATAATTCCGTCCTAGAGCTGAGCATTAGGATTAGATACTCTTGAACTCCAGAATAAATGTCCAATAAAATCATTAATAATAAGAATAAGAATATGTTGTAGCACTGCAGGAGCTTATTATGTTTCCATTCCCCTTCTTCAAATTCTTCAAATTCGTCCCAACTAGTGGTGTAAATTGGGAATGCTCATGTCCTTTTCCGGTATGAGGCGACAACGTTCCTGACGACACAATGCAATCCAACGACATGACACAGTGTCGCGGAGGTTCACCGACTGGGTGGTGGGAAATTATTAATGATGAAAATTAAATATTGAAAGCACTTTTATTTGGCATTGATTAATTGGGTTTTGATGCTAATGACAGTGAGTGCGTAACTTCTCATGGTGGCAATCCGGTGGCCTCCTCCACGCGCTTTTGGTGCGCCACACACAAACCACACTGACTGGCTCGTATCGTGACGTGGAATTTTAATTAATAACCGCACCGCACTCCAGAGACTGAGCTGGGCGCATTCGGTGGCCAACCTTGCCCACGGGCAGAGTGGAGTGCGAGTGCGCGAGTGCAACCGCGGAGGCTTTTAAGAGTTGAAATATGATTTTCAGATAGGATTCACCTCAACGATGATGACGACGACGACGACGACGATGACGACGAGCAGCAAGCAGCAGAGTGCGGGTGGTTGCCATACGCAGAGAGAAAGAAGGAGGAATTAAACATCATTTTCCTTTGGCAAAATATTACGACCATAAATTGTGATCACGAGAGAGACGCCAGCCAACCAAACGGAAACAAGACTGGAACAAAACTGCACTGGAGAGCAGACTTACAACTAAATTAATGTTGTGCCGGTCTGAGTGAGGGAGGGGGATGCTTGGGGGGTGCAAAACTGGAACAACTTTTTTTTATGCATCGATCTTCAGGGAGGCATTTTGTGCAGCCGGGTGAAGACAGGGTCGTATAAAAACGATATTAATGGTTTGATTACACTCGAGCGTTGCTGTTATCACGCGATATTATAAATGTTCCTAGCAGAGGCGTTGATGGTTTCTTGTGTACTCTGGAAGCACATTGGAAGTTTCTTTCGAATGAAGACAATTCACGCAGCAGTTCTGTTGAAAGCACTGGTTTAACCACACTTAACAATAAATATTGCAAGCCTATTCTACTTATTAGTAAACTGGTTTTTAGTAATATTCAATTCTTACATAATGTGTTTAAAGCTTATTCAAAGATCTGGTAAGTCACACTGCGCCGAAATACAACAATTTTCTGATTCATTTAATGCATTCAATTTCAAATTCTAGATTGCTAATTTTTTACAAAACGTTACAGCCAAAATCACTTATAGAACAATACTCGTTTCTTCACTGCTTGTCACTTGGATCAGTCTTGCCGGGTTGCCACCTAAAGAGTTTCCATTCCTTCTTGCCCCATGCCATCATTTACACGTGTAGACTTCCTTCACATCGATACATGTGCTGCACGTCACCTCACAGCACCACTTGAAGCTGCACTTACAGTTTCTTTTGACCTCGACCTGCTTCCGAGTCTGTCCTCGCTCACAGCACATTAAATTGCACCCATCAACCCCGTTGGAAGTGATGTTGCACTCCCGGCCGTGTGTCCCAAGGGAACCCGTTTTCGAACTCGGTTCACAGAACTCATCCGAATCCTCGGTGTACACCAGATCCCGTTTGGTTGGGAGCTTAATCGAAGGATCATCCGGCATGAAGCTGTGACCGTCGTTTCTCGCTATCACCTTGGTAGCACCGTCAAAGTGCTCCTTGAGGCGAGCTCCGACCTCCGAGAACGGGGGCATCTTCATCCAGCAGGTTCGCATGGTACAGGAACCGGACAGTCCGTGACACTTGCACTCCATTCGCATGAACTGCTTTACGGCCTGGGAGGGCGAGAGAAAATCGGGGTTTCGGTTAAGTGAATGTATCTGAATTTAGTGTTGTAGCGATGCGTTGCATTTCATTTGAATGGTGGCATTCACTGTCGGTATTTTGTGTCTATATTTTGATACATTTTTTGATGCTTATCGTTGGCTATCTTGCTTGCGATATTGGCTGCATTGGCTTTCAGATATTTTTTTTATAAGTAAAAAAAATGGAATTCAGAGAAATAGTCCAATGAAATTCTGATGGGAATTTCAAGGTAATTTTGGACCAATACTGCGGTGAATTAGAAGGGCAGGAGAGTCTTGAGAATACTCTGATATTCTAGGGTTTTTAAATTATAAAGGGCATACCAAGAGATTTCGCAAATTCTAGCGAGAATTAAAAAAAAATACATATATTAAGTGGATTTCAAGAATTTTCATGTGGGCAACCCTGAAGTGTTCTAAACCGAATTTCAAGATTGTTGTTGAGGGGAGTTTAAGGGAATGTCCAAGATTCAGCCATTCCATAGCAAAACGATATAATGGTTTTCAAAATTTCATAAAAAAATTTATTTCTGTTCCCTATCGCATAATATTACACCCATATTTTTTATTTTGTCGTTATGGTGACCATTTCCATGATGGGGTCGTCCAAAAAATCGTTTTTTTTTCAAAAAATACAGTATTTTTAATTCAAAACTTTTGAGCCCTAGTTATATCATAGATCCAAATATCAAATGAAATATTATTAAAAATACTTTTTTAGGAAAAATATAATGATATTTAAAAATATGATTGTGTATTGATAAACATTGATTCTATTTGTTTTTATGGTCTACATGGCTAGTAGATAGAAGCCGGAAGATGTTTTTATACTTTTCTTTGAAACCTAAGGCTTTTTAAACATTATATCACAAAATGAGCGATGTGTGTGTGTGTTTTTTTTTTTCATTTTTGAGTTATATTTTTTTTAAGTTATCAAGTTTTGGGTTCTCGCTCAATACTCCTATGTGATTATACAACCATGCGTCGTGATCATGTTACAGTCGCTTTAAATCGATGGAGACGCATGGTAGTCTAGTCGCATAGGAGTATTGAGCGAGAACCCAAAACTTGATAACTTACAAAACATATAATTCAAAAATTACAGGAAGGAACATCGCTCATTGTTTTAATATTATTATTAAAAAAAAAATGGTTTTAATAACCTCTCAATTGTTATTCTGATCTTTAAAATCGGCCCAGTGGTTCACTCAAATGACAAAATAAAAAATACGGATCTAATACTAACAATTTTTACAAAATTCTGAGAACCACTTTATCGCTTTGCTATGGAATGGCCAACCCGCCAACCCGAGCGTCTGTTCACCATGGAGGTGCGGCTCAAACAGCGTCTGACTGGTATCCAGCGGCTGAATAAGAAATACTCTTCCCCGGCAGCTACACCTCAGATGGAAGCCCCATCACGGCGGATAGGAGACCTTAGGCCAACCACCTACTGTCTCTGAAACCTTTACAATTGTTACAGAAACCAACAGAGAAAGACATCGAACTGATATAACCGACACGAATTGGATCATAGAATGTATTGAATGACGTTAGCCCAGCAGGGTAAACTGGCACAACTCGCCAACGAGGCGCGACGCATGAAGCTAGAAATCCTGGGACTGAGTGAAGTTCGTTGGCCAAACTTTGGAGAACACAAACTGCCGTCAGGACAGATACTACTATACTCTGGTATTCGAGGTGAAAACGTTCCCCGCCATCGTGGAGTTGGTCTCCTATTTAGCGTCCAGGCAAGTGCTGCGCTCATCAAGTGGGAGCCTGTTAATCGTTGCCAGATTTAGAACACGGGTTCGTAACCTTACCATAATCCAATGTTATGCGCCAACCGATGCTGCCGAGCTACAGGACAAGGAGAATTTTTACAGTCAACTGAATGCCGTCGTGAATAAGGTTCCAAAGGGTGACATCAAGATCTACACTGGCGACTTCAATGCGAAGATCGGCTCCGACAACACGGACTATGAGCGTGTCATGGGACGCCATGGTTTCGGCGAAATGAGCGAGAACGGTGAGCTGTTTTCAGAATGTTGTGGCAATAACGACATGGTGATCGGGGGCTCGCTCTTCCCCCATCGGCCAGTGCACAAAGTCACGTGGGTTTCCCGTGATGGACATACCGAAAATCAGATCGACCACATCTGCATCAGCCGAAAATGGAGACGGAGCCTTCTTGATGTCCGGAATAAACGCAGCGCCAACATCGCGTCTGACCATCACCTTCTAATCGGCGAAATCCGCCTACGCATGGCGCGGATCCAGCGACGGGAGGAGAGACTCGGGCGGCGGTTCAACCTACGCCGACTTGAAGATCCAGCGGTAAAAGGTCTTCTGTTGAAGAACTTGAGACTCGAGCTGCGGACGTTCCAGAAGGTGGCAGCGTAGAAGAACAATGGACGGCCATCAAGAATGCCTTCATAGAAACAAGCGAGAACAACTTGGGTGAGCTGCGCAGTGCGCAACCAGAGCAAAGAGTGGATCACAGATGAAACCTGGCGGAAGATTGAGCAGCGTAGAGAAGCTCAGTGTTGTCGAAAGCAGGCCACTCTCGATGTGTGCTACGCGATCGTCTGTTTTCTCGGCAGCAACCATTGTGTGGTCCTCCTCATTGTTCTTCATCAGCAGTTCTTTCGGTCGATGCGTCGTCGACTTTGGAAAGCAACCGTTTCGTGATGGGTGTGTGAGTGCTGACCACGTTTTGCGTCCATTGCTGTAATGGACGCGCTCTGACCCTCGTTGGTGTACAACAATTTGCCATACAATGAAACCACTGGAAGCGGCTCCAGTTCTGATGGAGGAGGCTTTTTGGATAGCGGAAGATAAAGTGTTTATTGTGTTGTAACTTTTGACTATAGTTTTAAGATGTAGTCCTCGGCTCTGTAAAGTTAATTCGGTTGAGCCTTATCAAATAAATTAATAATAAATAAAGCGTAGAGAAGCAAAAGCCGCGATAGAGTGGGCGAGAACCAGAGGAGCCAAGAACGAAGCCCGTCAACGGTACTCGGCTCTAGAGAAGGAAGTCAAGCGCTCTTGCAGACGGGACAAGCGAGCGTGGGTGAACTCCCTGGCCGACGAAGGGGAGAAAGCCGCAAACACTGGCGATATACGCCTCCTCTACGATATCTCACGACGCCTGAGTGGAGCAAAGATGAACCCGAGGATGCCAGTGAAGGACACGGCTGGACAATTGCTTACCGACCCCACTGACCAGCTGAAACGCTGGTTTGAGCACTTCGAACAACTTCTTTAAGTTTCGACGGCCAACCAGCCAGCAACGTCTCGGCATGATCCGCCTAGGGTGCGGCGCATCACTCGCGTCAATTCCGAGGCCCCATCACTGCAGGAGATTGAAGCAGCTATCCGAAGCATGAAATCCAACAAGGGTCCATGGGTCGATCGCATATCAGCAGAGATGCTCAAAGCTGACCCCATGCTATTCGCACAAATGTTGCATCAACTATTCTGTAATATCTGGGACACCGCGACTTTTCCGGTCGACTGGATGCAGGGCATCTTAGTGAAGGTCCCAAAGAAAGGGGATCTGACTGTGTGCGACAATTGGCGAGGCATCATGTTACTGTGTATTGTTCTCGAAGTTCTGTGCAAAGTTATCCTGAATCGGATACAGGAGAAGATCGACGCGACTCTCCGACGGCAGCAGGCAGGATTCCGTACCGGAAGATCTTGTGTGGACCATATTGTCACGCTCCGCATCATCCTGGAGCAGGTCAATGAATTCCAAGAGTCCCTTTATTTGGTATTCATTGACTACGAAAAAGCTTTCGACCGTCTCAATCACGAGAATCTGTGGGGCGTCCTGAGACGCAAGGGAGTCCCGGATAAAATCGTCAATCTCATTGAAGCGCAGTATGACCCTTTTACGTGCAGAGTTCTGCATAACGGAGCCTTGTCCGACCCTATCCGGGTAGTCGCTGGTGTGAGACAAGGATGTATACTATCACCGCTACTGTTTCTCATCGTAATCGACGAGATCATGGTAGGTGCAATTGACCGTGTACCGAACCGTGGGCTGCTTTGGCAGCCTATCACCATGGAACATCTCAACGACTTCGATTTGGCTGATTATGTTGCTCTACTAGCACAACGGCGCTCTGATATGCAGAGTAAGCTCAATGACCTAGCCGAACGCTCCTCTGCGGCGGGTCTCACCATCAACGTCAACAAGACCAAATCGTTGGATATCAACACGAGCAACCCTTCCAACTTTACGGTAGCGGGGCAAGCAGTGGAGAAGGTCGAAAGTTTCCAATATCTTGGCAGCCAAATAGCGTCGGACGGCGGGACCAAGAGCGACATAGGTGCACGAATCAAGAAGGCTAGGGCTGCCTTTGCGAGTTTACGAAACGTATGGAGATCCAACCAGATAAGTCAACGCACCAAAATCCGAATTTTCAACTCGAACGTGAAATCTGTGTTGTTATACGCCAGCGAGACGTGGTGTGTATCAGCGGAGAACACTCAAAAGCTGCAGGTCTTCATCAAACGATGCCTGCGGTATATAATTCGTGCCTGGTGGCCTCACAACTGGATCTCGAATGCCGAGCTCCATTGTCAATGTCATCAGAAGCCGATAGCAACAAAAATTCGAGAGCGAAAGTGGAGGTGGGTCGGCCACACACTTCGACGGGGCGGAAACGAAATCTGCAAGCAAGCGCTGGATTAGAATCCGGCATGACATCGCAGCAGAGGCAGACCCAGGGGCTCATGGCGGCGGAGCCTCAATAAGGAAATTAAGCAAGTCGATAGGAATCTGAACTGGGCCCAGGTCTAGGCAAAAGCGAGCAGCCGCCCAGGATGGAAGTCTTTCACGTTGTCCCTTTCCACCGCTGGTGGTGCATAGGACCCTTAAGTAAGTATGGAATGGCTGCATAACATTATTGAAGCGAAACCTGAAAGTAACCTTAAAGACATTTAGGATGATTCTAATAAATCCTTGAGAAAGTTCCAAAGATATGCTGAGATAAGTTCTGAAGAAATAATTTAGTTGATTAAGACATTGAATATGACTTGAGTCAAAATCTATCATTCATGAAAAGTCAGATCTTCCGGAAGTGGAAAAATTCCACTACCTCAAGGATTGCTAAGCAGGTGAAGCTAAGGCACTAGTGGATCCGCTAAAGGTCACTAGTAACAACTATCCGATTGCTTGGGAGCTATTGCGAAACGATACAACAGCAGTAAGCTACTGAAGAAGAAGCAAGTGCAAGCGCTAGTTAAACTGCCTTCACTTGGCAAGGAATCGATCACAGATCTCCACAGACTGGCTGATGGATTCAATCGTGCGATTCAAGCGTTGCATCAAGTCATAGAACCAGCAGAATACATGGATGCTGCTGGTGGAACTGTTAAGTTCTCGTCTGGATCCAGTCACTCAACGTTGTGAGAAGAACGCTTCCGCTATGGAGAAATACACGCAAAAGGGCTTGCAGGAGTTCTTACAAATCCTCGAGCGAAACGGAAACCGTTTTCTTCGAAGGTAAGGCACAATGCCATGCAATGGAATACCAGTAAGTGCCCATCATGTACGAAGAGTCATGGGCCACACACGTGTTCTGCCTTCCTGGAAATGTCGCTGTATAGCAGGGAGTCGTTGCATTACTGGTCACATCAATAATCTTAAATCCTCTCTTAATATAGTTTAATGGGTGTTACATACAAAGAAATGAAACTAAATAGTTGCACCCAAATCGATCGAACCATCTCCTCGAGCTTAGTTGATTGGTATATGGCAATCAACCCACCGGGCCTTTTATGAGATTAGCTCAAATTTGAGTGATTATATTATTTAAATTTGGGGAATCTTAGTGTGTAGTTGAATTCGCTTTACAGAATGTGGATCTGGCTAGTCAATTTTACATAATGTGATTTGATTTGGCCCAATTCAGGTTTCAAGGACACATCATGTAGACAGTTTTGGTAGCAATTTATGACTGCAAATAATTATATAATTGAATTCTGTGATTTTATGTGTCGCATGATAGATTTGCACTCAAGTCAGATTTTGGTCACTTCCCCCAGGATTACTGAAACATGTCCGATATGGTCTTGGCTACTCAAATTGACCACCAATGATCTTGTTTTGACATCCTCATGTGATTCAATGCGTCGCATGCATGGTTTCTAATAATTTTTGGCGACTCCCCGGGGTATAAAAAAAATCCTGTTTTGTTCATATCTCCGGACCAAATGTCCGATCGGGATGATATTCAGTAGGGTTCTATTGAAACCAGATAAACATAAACTAGAACTTGTTCCACTCAAATCCGTTTAGCAATTGCCGAGAAAATCGAGTGAGTTACACACACACATACACACAGACATTTCCGAACTCGTCGAGCTGAGTCGACTGACTTGACTGTCCGGGCCTGGGATAGAAAATGTATTTTTCAAATGAAATTATAGCCTTTCAGTACAACTCGGTGTACAAGAAAGGCAAAAATGGAGTTGAGGAATTCGTGATCAGAAAAACGTGGACCTAACTTAATCTACACACTTAGAAAAAATCATGTAAATTTAGGTGCTCTGAGGCTGACATATACGAGCGTCAATTTTGACATAGAATTGAGTCATAATAGACGTGAAGTTCATCTCAATCAAACGTATTTTTCGTCGAGTAACAAACTTTCAGTTTCGGAGCACTTAATTTTACATGACATGTTTGCTTACGTCTCATCCTTTGTGTCAAAGATGAATTCTGTCACGTGTAAAATTAGGTTTTTCTAAGTGTGTATGATTGTCTCTTACTTTTCCCATCAGCAATCATAACAAGATCAACAAAGTTGATACATGCCAGCTGCAATTACGAAATTTCCGAATTACTTCGTTGCCAACACAGTTAAGCTTCAGCAAAAAAGCAAAAATGCAAAAATTTAAAATTTCACCCAATAAAACAGATATTCAAACGATCAACAAAAACACCCACACAGCAAAAAAATAATTTTGATATCACGTCAAAGTGGATGCACTACAATCATGTCGAAAATATGGTGTAATATTACTTGCTAAAAAGGACAAAATTATCATTAATACAATGCATGAACTGACACTACGCTGCTTTTACTGCATTTGTTTATTTATGTGGTCATAAAAATTACATGAAATTTTCGACATGATTGTAGTGCATCCACTTTGATGTGATATCAAAATTATTTTTTTGCTGTGCACCCAAATTCCCAATAACTCACCAATCGTCCCGCATTGTTGTTGTGCAGCTTCACCAGTGTCCGGATGTCGCTCTTCTTCCGCAGCCGTGCGTCCAAGAAATCTTTCGACTTCCTAAACCCAAAGTTCACATTATCGTCGCATCCACCCCACTCCCAGCTGCCTTCTTTCCCACCGTTCCCAGCAGGTTTAGTCGGACTCGGCACCGATTTCACAACATCCCTTTTATTGGCTCCCGGTGCGGCCAGACTATTGTAGTTGAAATTGCTATTGACGTTCCGATACGAGGTAATCAGCATGGTGTTGCGTGTGTTTACCTTTCGACCGGCGGCTGCAGCACCACCACCGCCGTTCTTACCCTTTCGGGCGCCATTTTTTCCCCCACCAGGTCCGGGCCCAGGCCCGTCGATTCCTCCGGCCAAACCGGCAACGCCTCCTACCCCGACGCCATTTGGGTAATTCTGGACGCTCTTTTTGACGTGGTTCTGGCAGGAACATTCCACTAGGTCCCCCATCGTACAGGCCTTCGTAACGGCGTACGTGATTCCGGCTGCCGTGATTGCGTGTACGAACGCGGTCTCGCGGGTATCTGCAAAGAAGGGAAACGGAGAAACCAATTCCAAATGTTAAACATTATAGCGTGTGAATTCGAAGGCCCCGAAATCCTCCGCCCGGCGATAAGAGTCGAATTGAAAGTCAATATAAATTTCCAGTTGAAGGGTACTGATAAAATAAATATCGTTTAATTAAATTATGTGCTGGCACCACTTTACGCAGCTCACAGCTCGGTGGGAGAAATCTCCGAATTTGCATAAATAAATACGGTCGATTGCGCGGGGTCTGTTCGGGTCTCGCGGGTGGCGCTAATTGATTTCAAAATACGCAACCGATGATGGCCAACATCATTTGCATTTGCTAAACGATGTTGCCACTGGACGTCTACGTCGTATTCGTCGTCGTCGTCGTCGTCCCTCTGGGTCAGTTGGCTCTAAACAGTAAATATTAGTTCGCTATCGACGACAATTTGATGTTCCTTTTTTTTTGGAAGGGAGGGGGGGGGGACCTCTGCAACGCACCCGAAGTGACAAACCATTTAACAATCTCGTCAAACAGATTGTTGAGGTTTTGTTTGTTCCTCTACCGATCCCAGTCATCATGACATTTAACGGCGAAGGGGAAACGACGGAATCTGATTAAGTCATTTTCGATGTTGTTTCGTTTCGTTTGATTTTAGAGTTTTGTAAGTTGGTTCCAATAGCACCGTTTATGTACACGACAAATCAACAGCACGGTGTTGTGTAGGTGGAGGCGCCAACGCCATCGTTTGCATCGTCGTGTGGATGGGTGAATCCAGGCAGTCAAAGACACATGAATTACTTCACTAGAAAATCAACAAACAATTACGCCCGTGGAAGGCACCGCCAAGTGTGCTGGCAATGGAAAATCGAATACATTTTAGCGAGAAGAAATGATTTATAAACACTCGGAGGCGGGATGAGCCGTAGTAGGGTGCAATGAAATGGTTCGCATTTTCAGAGGCGGTCGGTTTGTGCTAGTTTATAGCTTATTTTCATTGCCATGGTGTGTTATTGAGGGGACGACGGGGGCAGACGGCCGCCCTTTGGATCATTGAAACAATCAATTCTTGAAATGTATCTAGAGTTGTTTGTTATAGTATTGTGGGGTGAAAAACTACAATTTTCCCCTACTTCAGGTTCCCCTATTATGTAAGATAATATGTTGGTACTTGCTATTTTGCTATTATGTAAAAATACTAATTGACGTAATTGTATGCCATTTGAGTTGGTCACATGTGTCGGTTTTAGGAGACTTAAAATTTCATGAAGTCTTCGAAGAGTGTATGTAATAATAAAAGATTCAATTGATCAAGGGTTTGTTACAAATACTTGATGACATTCTGAAATGCTAACCAGGTTGGTACATTTTCTCACTGCAAAATGATTAATATCAAACAATCTAAGCGTGGATCTGGCATAGTGGCTAGCATCCAAGCCTCTCATGCTGAAGTTCACGAATTCAAATCTTATCCCAGGAAATGACACAAATGTCCTAAAACGTTTTAAAATTGCTATATTGACTCATTTAGTCAAGACTATTTTTTCACACAGATGACTCTGTTCCATTGGTAGTAAGTAATAAAAACCCCCATAAATAAATTTGGAAAAGTGAGAACAATACGACTTTGATGCATATTCAGGTCAAAACAAGTTGGGGGGAAACCAAAGAAATCATTCATGGACTTTTCCGTTCATTTTTTCTGCAAATTATTATTAAATATTCAAATTATTAATTGATTATCTAACTATCCCGTTCATTTTTTATATAAGTTATTTTAGTTTTTCTTAGTTGGTAATACCACCACTTGTGGCACGCATGATCAATTCTCTTATGTATGACGTTTACAAACCACAGTCATCTGTTGAGTGCATACGACAGATGGCGGTAGAGTTTACAATGAGAAATGTTCAATGTGTTGCGTCTGTTTGTCTGTGTTGTAATATTGAGGTATCGTTAGAATAAATTCAAAACATTCAGAAACATAGCTCATCATTTTCAGAAATACTTCACTTCGCAACCGATGAACCATTCTGACGACCATATGAATACCCAAGTAACCATATATTCGCAATAAAGTTTGTATATACTTACTTTGCTTGAGTATGGTTAGTTGGAGAATCCGATGAAACTGTCGCTTCTTGAAACTAATCCTTTTCATATTTCTTTCATTCTATTTTCGCACTTTGCATATAACACCATCTCATACTAATCTCTACATTGGACCAGCTACTTTAGACTAGATGGCCATGGCAAAGCAAGAAAATTGGTTTTCGTTGAAGGAAGTATCACAACACAGGTAGGGTAGAGAACTACTTCGGCCTAATCGCCCATTTTGGGCCTATCGAGCAGCAAACTTTAAATGAATCCTTAATTTCAGAGTTAACAAGTCAATTATGCGTTTGGTACAATACTTTAGTTAATAAGCTACCGAACGAAGTCAATGAGAACGCGTGATATGAAGGTTTGCAGCCATTATTCCCAAAAACAAAAGAAGTGTTCCGACCGAATCAATTTTTATCTTCATCCGATTGGCCGAAGTGAATTCATTGGCGTTTCAATGGCGTTTCAATGCGTTAGACCGAGTTTAGAATCCGTAGGCCGAGTTTGACGTCAAGAAGCAGTGTTAGACTTTTGACAATATCTCAACGATTGGTTTCTGTTTATCAAATCTTAAGGTACATACGGAAAGGTGAATAAATGTGGAAGCCATCAGTAATAATAACATTCCGTTTTGTGCTAAACTGCGCTAGATTAAGAAAGACTAATTTCAGGTTGAGCTTAATAAAGGGTGATACGGTCAAAATTTGGTCAAGGGAAAACGCGTGTAAATCTGTGAAATCGTTTATTTAAAAAATCAAATTAAATTTCTTTTTCAAGTTCAATTAGTATAAAATTCAGGAAAAATATTCAGTTAGGCTTCCGCTTTTCCAAATCCGAATTGCCGGGCCTTACGCTTGACCCCTGCCATCAGATTTTGTACAGCCACCTTTTCCACCTTCTTCGCCGCAGAAAGCCAGTTTGCCTTGAACTGCTGCTCGCCCTTAGCAGTTTTTTTGGTCTTCTTTAGGTTCCGCTTGACAATAGCCCAGTATTTCTCAATTGGGCGGAGCTCTGGCGTGTTGGGAGGGTTCTTGTCCTTGGGAACCACCTGCACGTTGTTGGCGGCGTACCACTCCATTGCCTTTTAACCGTAATGGCTAGATGCCAAATCCGGCCAAAACAGTACGGAACAACCGTGTTTCTTCAGGAAAGGCAGCAGACGTTTATTCAAACACTCTTTCACGTAAATTTCTTGGTTGACAGTCCCGGAAGCTATGAAAATGCTGCTTTTCAAGCCACAGGTACAGATGGCTTGCCAAACCAGATATTTCTTTGCGAACTTTGACAGTTTCATGTGCTTGAAAACATCTGCTACCTTTCCCCTTCCTTTTGCCGTATAAAACTTCTGTCCCGGAAGCTGCTTGTAGTCGGCTTTGACGTAGGTTTCGTCGTCCATTACCACGCAGTCAAACTTCGTCAGCATCGTCGTGTACAGCCTCCGGGATCGCGCTTTGGCCGTCGTATTTTGTTTATCATCGTGATTTGGAGTCACTACCTTCTTGTAAGTCGATAGTCCGGCTCGTTTTTTGGCTCGATGCACGGTTGTAGACGATACACCCAGCTTATTTGCGGCATCTCGGAGAGAGAGGTTAGGGTTTCGCTTGAAACTACCGGCAACTCTCTTTGTCGTCTCAGTGGCTTCCGGTTTTCGATTTCCCCCCGATCCAGACTTCCTGGCTGTCGACAAACGTTCCCCAAACACTTTAATTACATTTGTAACGGTTGATTTGGCAACTTTTAGCGATTTTGCCAACTTTGCGTGCGAGTAGCTCGGATTTTCGCGATGCGCGAGCAAAATTTTGATACGCTGCTCTTCTTGCTTGGACGGCATTTTGACAACTGAAGAGTGAATTCCAAAATCAAAATAGGAGCAACATTCTACACACACACACACACCTTCAAAATGAGGGGTGTTCAGGTTTTTTAAATGCAAAATTGAAAGAAATACGTCAAGTTGATATTGACCAAATTTTGACCGTATCACCCTTTAGGCCGGAAATGGGGTATTTAACCCTAATTGTTATTAGATATTATTGAGATACAGTCAGGAGTCCTTATTTCCGGATTCCTTATTGCCGGTATCCCTTATTGCCGGTATCCCTTATTGCCGGATCCTTATTGCCGGGCTATCCGCGAAAAAGGATACCCTCAGCTTATGGGATTTTCACTAATAGGGGCTGTGGTGGATTATCTCATTTGTTTCAATATATAAAGCTATACTGTCTTGGACAAATATGTTGTACAGGGATAGAACAACAAGCCTGTGTCATTGGATTCAGGTTTAATTGGGAACTACGCCGCTAGAGGCGCTTCACTTTTATGTTACTTATGACGAGCGGTATAATATATGGATCTTATAGAATATTTCGTGATCCTGGCCATATAGAAAGTTACTGTCTTTAGCAAAGTTGTTCAAGTGACCAATTCCTTTCGGATTGTGGTCATATTAGTTCAGAACTCCTTCACTGCGCAGCGCTAGTGTGCATGTGAACTTCTTATATAAGCTGTATCTCAAAATCCTGGCCATATAGAACGTTGCTGTCTTGAATAAAGTTGTTCAGGTGACCAAGTCCTTTCGGATGGTGGGCATAATAGTTAAGAACTCTATCACTACGCAGCGCTAGTGTGCATGTGAACTTCCTATATAAACTGTATCTCGAGAACCTCCCAACAAACAATTTTAGCTGCAGCTTAGCTTATACAGGCAAAAATTAGCTGCATAAGGCAAATTTTGGCTGTATAAGCTAATCTACAGCTAAAATTGTTTGTTGGGCTGGCCATATGTCTTCAGCAAAGTTGTTCAGGTGACCAGTTTATTGACAGTTTTTCTCGAACCGATTGTTTCCATCTTGGATTACAAAATGGCGTCTAGCATCGATTTACAGTCTCTACCCGTCATCCCCTATCCAG